AAGACTCCTAAATGATTATCAGAAACAACTTTTTTAATGTTATGGAAAATGTCGCTTTTCATCGTGGCTAAGTATATGAATGAACATTTTTAAAATCGTTTGTCTCCCAATGAAAGAGTTAGGTTATATCAATCGTGTATTGATGGCGATGTTTTCACTGCTATATTGAAAGTCTTCGTCAGGCGATGAGGTCGAAAGTTTCGACTAACCAAGGTGCTACAAATAGCAATATGCAAACTTTCGACTTCGTCGCCTGACGAAGACTATCGGCAGAGAAGTCGAAACGTCGCGATCAATACACGATCGATTAGCCTGACTCTTATATCGCGAGACAATCTTTCTTACTATGAAACAGAAACTACAATATTTTATATTTTGATATTCAATTTATTATCAGCTCTTAATTTTTACGTGTACCTCGTATACCCAGTATCCTATTTTGGTTATAATTTTCGACATTTTAATATCCTGACATTAGATTTACACTTTATAGTCTACTATTCGATGTATCATTAGCTCTTAAAGTTTACATACACTCCGTACACGTGCTCTCGTGTTTCTTTTATAATTAACAATTATTCGCCGAAGGCGAGGTGAATATCGTCGAATAATCCCCGAGACGAAGTCGAGGGGATTATTCGACAATATTCACCGAATCTGAGGCGAATAATTGTTTTAGTATAATTTCAGAGCTGAACAACACAGAAATTTCTAAAATCATAACATTTTAGTAACATTTATTAACGTTTTAATTTAACATTTTATATAAACCGGGCGGAGCGGTTTATCTAGCGTCGTATAAGGAACCGCTCCACCAATCAGATTGCTCTGAAATTATAAAAAATATAGATATTATCTATTTAGCTTGTAAATTATCTTCAGTTGAAATGCATTTTGTCCAGTTTGGCGCTTCATATCAAAGCGTAGTAATTATTCATAAAGGGGCTAAAGTTTTTTAAAGAAACTGTGGTGCTACGTCGATGAGGGGTATAACAAGGTAATTTGGTTTTATCAACTAGGTTGATTGGCCACCATAAAGAGTTTAAAACGTGAAGTTTCGAGCGTTAGCCCTTCGTCAGCTTTTGAAACTCTTCACCGTCAGTGGCAAATTTTACATTTTCAATTCAGTTGTTAAAACCAAATTATTTACTTACTATCCAACTGTCTCATCTAAATTCATTTCTAATAAAGTTTGAAGAGCGAAGTAAATAGAGTAGCGGTTTGTGACATGTCTGGCACATCGCTCGTGTCGTATTGCTTCTTTTGTGTAAGATGCGGATAACCAGATGATAGATGATACCTTAAAAAGTGTCATATTTTTACACAAGGTTTCAGAATTAAAATAATGTTTCCAGCAGTGAAAACTGTTTGAATACTTTATCACCAACGGCAAAAAAATTTCAATTCACAGAAAGACAAACTTTCAAAGACATAGATGAGCTCTAAGCATTCAACAAAGGTGTGTCAGTCTCTGTAACAGAACATGATTTTTGTTTATCTTCTAACTCAATCGATTCAGATATATAGCGACAACGCTTCGCAAGAACTGCATATGCAGCTGGTATTTTAGGAGTAGTAGCCCGTGAACTAAGAACAAAGGTAGTGTCCATTTCGTTTTTTCCTTTTTAGTCTGTTTAATACACTTTAATCTCAAGCGTAGCTGACCTGTCGTTAAAGAAAAATATAGGCAATTGTCCAAATAACCGTACAATGTAGAGGGATAAATGTGCTCGATTTGTGCTATATTTGTACTCTAATCAATGCAGTTGGATTTCATATAACAACGCTGCAAGATAAATTAATGCCTGGTTATCCGCGTAGATTTAAGTTAATTCAGCACAATATTTACTCATGACGTTCAGCTAAGGAAGAAGACCTCAAAACGAGATTTGGCATTCAATCGTAGAGTTAAGACATTGATACTTTTTTGCTTTATTATTTTTTTTTTGCTTTATTTTTGTTTTTGATAAAATAACAGCAAAGCCAAAATTTACAATTAAAAGAAGGAGGAAACATAAAAGATTTCGCTTTCATCTGTACTTGTAAAGTGGCGTAGGTACCTTTATTATGTTCATCGAAGGTAAAGTTCAAAGTATAATCCCTGTGTAAAGTGTAATCTTTCATCAGTTTGTCTTGTTTTTTTTTTTTTTTTTTTTAAAGCAACGTGAATTGGAGTTAAATACAACTAGTTTAACTGCAAGGCCGGAACTCTACTAGAAAAGAGGGTGAACCGTTTCTGAATTTGCATTTCAAAAAGGGAGGACATAACAGTGTTGTTTTCGGCTTTGAAGTCATTTTGACAGCATTTTATACATCACTTCTCACTCAAAACTAATACCTTGCAAAAAAATCAAGTCTCTAAAATAGGTAAGACATTAGAATACATAAATGTAATTTTTTTCATCTATCGTCGCAAGTAATATTTTTAGGTGGAAATACGCGTGGGCAAATATCTTTTGTATGGACAATAATAAAACGAACAAACAAATAGACAGTTTAGTTTTTACGCCTTATTAACAACTTCAAGATAGCCAAAAATGAAAAGGTAAGCCTTTTAGACGTTAGTATTATTATTTACCTACGCTTAGAGTTAACTCATGAGTATATTTCTTAGCAGGTTAATCACTCATGGAAACGAGGATCGCTTAGTGTCCATGATGGTCAATTTTCCTCGTTCTTTATTGATCAGTATGATTCTTGTAATTTTCACTTATATATCTACAATTACTATCATTACTGAATTTTTTTGCTCATAGCTGTTGCAGCTGATTTTATTGGAATGTTTCATTTATATTTGCATCTTTCCTTAGTTATTGACGTGCGCTGTTTCCTTCACATTATGCTTTGTAGTGCTCCGTGATAATTGTGCTTACATTTACTTGAAGCTCAGTAGCTGGTGGTGAAAACCAAGCCTTCATACGAAAAGCTAACATTGAGCAAGGAAATAAATTGACATGCATATAATTAAATCTTCATCGATGTTTTAGCCTTGTATCAACACCATCGCGCCAAACTGATGGATTCTTTGTATGATTGTTGCTACATAATATCTAAAAGTTTCTAGATTTTTTTTCCTATCCTCACATACCCACCGTAATATCTAAGTTTGAATTACAGAAGCAGTTATAACTTCTGAAGGAATAATAACTGTATCATAAAGCGTAGGTGGTTACGTTTGGCCTGAAAATGGGCAGAATGTGTTCAAACAACACTGAGAACACATGTGCGAACAACACTGACACGCTAACAACAAATATAGTTACATCTTAAGCAATTACACTGCAACAAATTTTTACAAAAAATAAAAATAAAAAAATGAATTTTTAGTAAATTAGGCCTTTGCTTTATTGCCTTTGGAATTGCTAATGATCATTGCTTTCCATATTATAATATCTTAGTCGTTCTGTTTGCCGAATAACGTTAAGCTTCTCTAATCTATGACCGACGTGTTATTGTTTCAACGACGTTAGAAATATAGCTTGGGTCTCGAGAACACTTTCTTAAACTAAAGCAAAGAGATACGCGCCTCATGACACGTTAAATGAGACAAAAGCTCCAACTGATTACATCTGCTTTCTTTTTTTTAAATAACGTGGGTGCTTTATTTTAGCAATTGTAATTTTTCCTTCACAATGTCGAGTTTGATTATTTCTTTTGACACTATGCCTACTTGTGTTTACTCTGAAAATGCGCAGTTCTTCCATTAAGTAAATTCATTTTGTTTAAGAAAAATTAAGCGGTTTGAAAGCATTGCCGCTCCTAGAGAAAGAAAAGCTCCTTTTTGTATTAGATATCACCCTATGAATCGATATCTGATATTTGTCAGCTGAAGAGAAAAAAATCATTCGAAGTAATTATCATTTTACTTAGCCGTATAAGATGGAGATGCATGTCATCTTACAAAGTAGCGGTTTGGAAAAGGTCTGTTAAATTTATCTATTCCGTCTTACGCTGTAAGTGAAACTTCTAACAAACGTTGTATCACTGAGCCACTCATTAATAATCACTTTATGTTCGCTGAAAGTCATCGATTTTCAAAGTTACAGTAATGAAAGGACGATTCTTTTTTCTAATTAATGATTGAATTGCCAGTAAACTAAAATTGTCGAGTTTTGACTTTTTTCTAGAAGAAAAAAAAAACTATTTTCTTCAACATGTAATTTCCTAGTTTAAGGTTCTCTTAGGGGCAAACAAAAAGGGAGTTTTTCGCTTCACCATAAAATTCACACTCATGGTGTCACGGACTCGTGTCTTTTCCAAAAAAAAATTGGAACCAAATGGGAATAGCTAGTCGACATCAGGTCTTAAAATACGTATCAATGTTCAGCTTTCACTTTTAGGCTTAGCTAGCTTTTAGATAAAGCGACGTAATGGCGGACTCAGCTGGTGTTTTCACGACTGCAGCGCTGTCTGTTCTGATTATTGTGGGAATCATTGGAAACTCAATGGTCTGTATTGTCATACTAAAACATCGAGACATGAGGTAGGCATAAACCGTGAGTTTCGATCCATATCTTTTCCTTGCTATTAATATAAATGCTTGTCGGGGAGTTATTTCATGATGTTTATCTCCCTCTAACATCACTCAACATATGGTCAACTTTTACAGACGATTAGCTGCACGACACTTCTATTTTGAAATCGCATAATCCAGTCACTGAACACAAGTTTTTCTTTAGTCTGTACCAATATTTCATGAATTCAATGTATTGAGCTGGTTTGTAAAAAGGTTGCAAAGTTGTCTCTCTCTTTACTACATTTTTTATGTATGCATGTGTTTATTTACGAATATTTATACAGGGTAGCCCAGTTTAGCAGATAGCTAGTTTTAATGGGGCCCTGTGAACACCCACCACACAATAATCTCGTGCGTTGGAAATTAACGTCTCCTACCCCTACCCCTGCAGGAGACGGGGCCTACGGTTTATTCGCCCTTATCCGAGAAGACTAGAATATCTATCCATCTCTTGATATTATTGAAAGGTAGCAAATTATCCTCAGTTATTTTAAGACCATGAGTATTGGTCCGGCCAGGGCTCGAACCCTCGACCTCCCGCACAACACAATCCGGCGCTCTAACCAATTGAGCTAACCGGGGGGCGGTTGATTAATTTCAATTTGATTAATTTCCTTAAGCAAGCTTGCAAACTTAAATGGTTGCAGCGTTTCAGTTAGGCCATTTGCCGGCTAGGAAAAAGATGCGATTTAGAGCTTGAAATGGGGCGATTTGCAAATATATAGCACCGACGACAGCCAATTAGACTGCAAGGATCACAAGTGATTTTTCAAAATGGAAGTAATAACACAGGACGAAATCCCACGTTTCCGCATTTCGTAAATGTGACGGAAACATAGAGCTTCATATTTCCGCTACATTTACGTCTTGCGGAAACGTGTTGTACCAAGTCTTGGCGATTCTATCAAGTTTCCGTCATGTTTCCGGCACGGAAATGCCAAGCAATGTTTCCGTCATATTTAAGCCTGGACGTTTCCGCTGCCGTTTGTTTCCGTTATGTTTCTGCAAACAGATTCTTAATATCCTTGTTGAGTCTTTGCAATGACGGAAAACAAACCGATCGGGATTTTGGGCATGATTTTTACTATTTTGACGAAATTTATACGGCAGGAAACGCCACTTAGATAGAGTCCTAAAGTGCTTACGTCACGTTTCCATAGCACCGGAATTCTGTGGTCTAAACAAACCAATATGGCGTCCCTAGCGTGACACATTGTCGTTGACCTCGAACACTTCAAGAGCTATAATAGCGCATTTTATCCTCCAATAATAGAAATAAGATAAAGAGAATCAAGATAACCTTTGGCCTTACTATTGAAGAGTATAATAAGCGGACAAAAGCACCTGGTGAGCAATAATTCGAGTCAAAACGCCACGGAGACGAAGTTTGCGATGGGCCAGTGTTTTCATCCAGATTGCAATCACACATCTGAAAGCCACTGCTGCCGATTCTTTTCGTTTCCAGACCAGAAAAAACATAAAACACTCTATGATAAGTGGATATCATTTGTAAGGTGAGTATTTTTCGAAAAATATATATTTCGATGCTGTACCATCGATTAGAAATAGCTGTTTTTTTTTTATCTCAAACTGATTCACGATTAGCTGTTTCTCTTTCTTGTCTTATTTGCTTTTAACATTAGCTACTGCCTATTTACATTAGCTCCCACTCCCCCCCCCACTCTGATTATGTCCAGCATCTGTGCACCACTTTTCAAAGTTCTCCCTCGGTAATCTTTGGGAATAGTTGATGAAAGTAAAAATCACTCAAGATAGTAATATTGTGCTCCCAAGATTCATCTCGTTCAATCTTGATAACTACACTATCCTTTGTGGTCCATACAACAAAGTAGCAGAATTTGCGCTTTGTCAGGAACATCTGGCCTTGACACTGATGCCAGTAAACATGTGTGGTAGACAGCGTATAATTCCCTTCCTTCTCCTCCAAGTAAAAGTCTTTGTGCCCACAAGCTTCCTTGATTGTCGCATTTCGATGTGTGTAGGGGCACTTACACTCAATCACCGAGTCGTCTCCCACAAGTCCATCAGGGGAAGCACCCAGAACTCCCGACTCGTGTAGCCAAAGGCCGGTCTGTACAGGTGTAAAGTTTGTGATGTTGGTGAAGGATTTCAGGGCCTCAGTCTCATTGTCCTGTCCCCATGCAATTGCTTTAACTCCACTCAAGTTGTATTCCCCAAGTAGTCGCTTGATAAGAGACGGTGTAACTCTTTTTGCCTGGAGGACGGAGCCAAAATTACTGGCAGTCAGGCGGCCTCTACGAGCTTGGTGCCATGCAGGGCTGTTTCGCTGGCCAGCCGTGAGGGTGCTCACAACATTTATGGTTCTCTCCTCTACTTTGGCATTCTCAATCAAGTACTCTAATTGTTTTTCCTTCGTAGATGCCATAAGGAAACCTTCTGAGTAAATGATATCCTCAATCGTCTTGATCGGGAGAGGGGTAGCAGGTTGTGGTTCGGGACTCAAGATCCAGCAGGTCCCTGTAAATTTGCCATAGCGCTTTAGTTCGCTGTACAGCCACATCCGATCTTCTCGGCTAGGATCGCGCGCCAAAGGGCTGTAATCCTTCTTCTTCGGTGGCGCTGGAAACATCTGGCTTGCAGACTGTACGCTTTCTGCCTTTCGCTTTCGTTTCCATTGGCATTCCAGGTCCGTCCTGCTAAGGTTATGGATGCCATAAATAAATATGGCTGCCGCGTGACTGCACTTGAACTCGCCGCGAGGACACTCGCATTCTGTGTTTTTTATTTCAAGGTTTTCATCGAGATAAATCTGATAAAAAGATAATTCGAAACAGACACGTAAGTTGCAATATATATTCCGCAATATAAACATTAAATTGGAGGTGAAATCGGGGTTGGGAGTTCTTCGAATTGAACATACGTGTTGTGATCCCAAATTGGCAACTTACTGTGACTTTGTAGTCCTTATTTTTCATGCTTGCTTGGACTTCACCTTTGATGACTCCCCTGGAATAAATAAAGCTTTGGACATGGTCGGATTTGAAGTGGTTTTCTCCGCGATCAAGCGATTTCCGCTCTCCAGAAAAGAAAGAAACGAGTGAGCATATCGATAAAGACGCCATGTTTGAAGTATGAGTTTAAACTGTTTAGACCAGAAAAAAATGCTGTCATGGCAACGTGACGTCACACTTTAGGACTCTATATCGATGAACAACTATCGTGACAAAGTTTGTATATGAATTAGTAACTTCGGCTTCTGATACGACGACTTGCAAAGTATGAAAATTGATTTTAAAACGTAGCATGAAATCGCCACTTTACTCTTCTCTTTGTATATATTCTTGCGTAAAAAGCAAATTTCGTGTTCCGTAAGCAAGCGCTAACACAGCGCTAGCGACTGCGCAGACTCTGTAATCAATAAAGGCGCGTAAAGGGCGTTGATATTTAACAATTATTCGCCGAAGGCGAGGTGAATATCGTCGAATAATCCCCGAGACGAAGTCGAGGGGATTATTCGACAGTATTCACCGAACCTGGGGCGAATAATTGTTTTAGTATAATTTCAGAGCTGAACAACAGAGAAATTTCTAAAATCATAACATTTTAGTAACATTTATTAACATTTTAGTTTAACATTTTCTAGATTTGCTGGAAACTCTTTGTTCAGCTCTGATATAATACTAATGATGGTTATATATAGTTCGCGGATCAATATTGAAAGAACTACCAAAATATGTGAAATATTTGTGTCTGATCTCTCATCAGTGAATAACCGAGTAATTTGGATGCTTCTTTGTAAACTCATTAAGTTTCTTTAAGAATTTTTGCGCAGTGTATTTGACGGACCTTTAACGTTAACGCGCAGTTAGCTAGTATGAATCCCCAAATGAGCACACAGGCTCTTTGCCAGTTAGGCTGGAGAAATTAAAAAATAGGCAATTCAGGCAATTTTGTCGCAGGACCTGGTTGAATAATTTGAGATTGCTTGGACAACTTGGCCAACTGAGTCATTTGAGTCGGTTGGCCATGGGTGTCTTAAGGGGACTGGATAATTGGAACTTGTTGGGTCATTTGCGCTGGTTCGGTTATTTTGAGATTTCTTGGTCATTCATGTTGGCCAATTGGGTCATTGGCCGCGCGTAACCTAGGGCAAACGTTACCTAAATCCAAGATGGCGGATTTCTCTGAGCCCACCGATGAAGACCTAATATCCTCGGTAAAAAAAGCACTTAAGAATAACAAACTGCAACAGAGAATTGTGAATGGGAATAAATTTAGGGATCTAGATGTCACGTTTAATGGACTAAACCAAGTTGCTGAGCTAGTTATGAAGAAAAACTTTGGAGGGATTCCAGAGAGACCGAAGTATTAAATTGGTTAACTATATCCAATGGTACAGCGTTGGATGATTCCAGCGAAATGTGCCATTGATCACTGGCTTTCTCCTCGAATGAGCAACTGCACCTGTGCATAGTCGTCTTCGGTCTCCCTCTGACAACACGAAAAAAAGTGGTTCGGTTCCGTTGTTACCGCAGCAACGGAAACACGAGTAAACGTCGCCAAACCGGCAGCGGAAACACGTGTTACCCGTCGTGTTTCTGCAACGGTTTCACAAATTTCTTTCGCGTTTCCGTTTACGGATTGTTGATATTTCGTCCTGTGTAAAGAAAAGAAAATAGTCATTTGCTTTTTTTTTACATCTCTTCACTCCCTCAGAGTTCCCATCAATTATCTTCTTGTGAACTTGGCCATCGCAGACATCATGTATGCTACATTTATCGCCCCGCAGTACATCTTGAGTCAGACGTTCACCCATCCAGGCAGAGTTACCGGTGAAGTTTTGTGCAAGTTGTTGACTGGTGGGAACTTCGCGTGGGTGGGGGCGGCCTCTTCTGTTTTCACTTTGGTGAATATCTCAATTGAACGTTTTTATGCGGTGATACATCCTCTGGGCAATAAATGGAATCTTTCCGAACGCAAACTCATGGTAAGTGACGCACCGAAGGAAGTCTTCACTTTTCTATTGAACCGTTTGCTATCAATAGACTGTTTCTCGAGTACAGCTTTGTCTCATATTTTAAGCGTAAACACTAATTCCTTTACATTTTCATGTTACTGCGTAGGAGTGGTAGTTGGAGCTGGAAATGGGGCTGGGGATACTGTCAGTTTGTCGTTATTCAAATAATAGCATCATGGGAAAAATTTGCACATAAATTAATTTTTTTAGGTGATCATTCCCGGTGCTTGGATATTTTCTGCGATTGTGAACGCTCCAGTTTTCTTGGTTGTTGAATTTATCGATGAAAGTGGTGCATGTGAAAGGATATGGCCTGAAAAATGGATGCCAAGGGCTTACAATTTGGCGTGGTTTGTCGTCATGGCAATAATTCCCTTGACAGTGATGGCTGGATTATATTCCAGAGTGGTTTACAGGTTGTGGTTTCAACCTTCTGAGGACATTGAACTTACTCGACGGCAAAAGGTTTGAATCAGAAAATCACTCCGAACTTCGACCCTTATTTAAATTATGATTTTAGCAAATTCATTGATATAAACCATCTTTTGATCTCGTTTAAAGGGTGTTTTGAGGCTACGCAAGCGAGTAACTTTGGCAGTCGTTGTTGTAAGCGTTATCTTCGGAGTCTGCTGGATTACAGACTCTATTGTCTATATCGTGAGCCATTTCAACACCAAAAGCTTTGGTCCTGCTGTGTATGCTGTTTCCAACACGATGATCATGTTTAACTCAGCCGTGAATCCGTTTGTTTACGGTCTTGTGAATGAAAGATTCAGACAAAAAATCAAGAGCATGCTCGGCTGTACATTTTCTTCCCGAGTGAGGATCCATGACTCCAGGGTGATAAATTCCACGGAAATGAGAAACAGTACCAACAGCCGTTATCATGGAGAGGGATGCTGACTTTAACGTGCATGCAAACAGACATGGAGTCATGCGATGACTCCATGTCTGTACTGACCTCTCTGCGTTGAAAGATTGTTCAGTCGCCACTTTTGCGAGAAACTCCAAAATTAAGTCTTACACCCCATTCACCACAAATCTTAACCATGTTTAAGCCTTTTAAAGCTGTTTCGTTAGGCACCATTGAGATATATTTTCTTCATAGAACCTTCTTAAATCTATGTTTGTCGACGTCTTATGTAGCACATTAGAAATACAAGTTAGAGATTATTTACGGTCTTGTGTGAATTGGCTATAATATAAATAAGTATTCCTTTCTGATTCGTGCATTATGAATTTAAAAAGCAAAACTAAACTAAAGGACATAAAAACAGAATGATTTTACGCGATAAAGTACAGGTTTCTGCTTTGTGGTCAACGGGAATGTGAGTATATACAAAATAGAAAGCATATTCCATGGAGAGTGTGCACGAACGATTTTTCCTCATGAGTTGCGATGCATGAAAAAAGGAACGAGTGAACGCAGCGAACGAGTGAGTTTTTGATCATCGCAACTCGTCAATAAAACTCGTTCAAGCGCTTTCCATGTTATGACGTTTCTATTTCATAAATGTTCATACTGAAGTTTTTTTCTCCCTGACACACATTTCAAAGATTAGAGGGAAAAATACATCGCTCGCCCAATCAGAGACATGAACGATAGTACTTACAAAGTAAACCTCAATATGTATGAAATAAAAGCCGTTCTTGACCTTATTTTTTTGTTGCGAAAATTAATTTGATTATTGCTATTACTGTTTTTTTTTTATTATGTTTCCAGAAAATAGGCTTCCATTAGTTTGTTCATCGTTGTAATATACTGAGGGCATCTTGAGTAAACTCTCCCTGACATGTTTGCATTGGGTAGCCGTCATTTCAGGGGAAAACGACTCCCCACGGGTTAGGTCATAGTGTTACTAATAGTGTCGATTTCTGTTGGAGACTGTAATTAAAAATATATATACACATATCCATGCTTTTTTTATGTTTTTGATCTCTTTGTTATTATCACTGAAAACCAAAAAGAAGAAGAAACGTTGGATAACTTTATATTTTTTACTGTATGCAGATAATTTAGTTTATTCATACAAAATTCATATTTTGAGCGGAGATGTGTGATCTGGCTTTGATAATTTTGTTATTCCAAATGACTCCTTTCTAAATACAGAATCTTCAATAACAAGGCAATTATATGGCTTAGACGTTGATGTAACACCTTACTTTTGCGACTTTTTGGTTTTCAGTAGAAGTGAACCTGACAAACTCCATAGCTTTAAACCTCATTTGCCATTTTATATATAGTTTGCGTCTTACCCATCATGACCAGTAAGTGAATACAAAGTAAATTCTGTTAACAACTGCGGGAATACTCTGCACCATCAGTGGAGAATGATTTCCCGAAGTTGTCTATAATAATCTTGGTGAATAAAATTAGAATATTGAGATTTAAGGTTAAAGATATGTCCATTTCATTTCAATTTGTTTTTCATATCATTATTTTTTTCTTATTCGTTTTTTTTCTGGATACGTCTGCAGATGCCCAGGTAACTCTGTAGGTTAGAATACGTGATTTGATTTTTTTTTTCTGCCATATATTTTTATTATTTAATGGAAGCGTACGCGATTACACCCAAAGCAAACTGTCCGTGACATGTTTGCACTAATTTCTTTTCACCTGTCTACATAACATAACCTTTGGTGATTAAGTTTCAATTTCATGCGAAAATGACCACATTTTTTGCTATATTGAAACGCAGAAAGAGTCAATTTCTGAAGCTTCTTTTATTGCGGTGAATTTTCTTCAAGCTTAAAAAGATAAGTTTAGTATATGTGAGCCATTTTTGTTACGAAAATGGTCGTCGAGTTTGAATCAACTCATGTCGTGACTACTATCGTCCTCTTACTACTTGTCGTTGTGGACATCGCCGGCAATGCCCTTCCCTTGTTTGTTTGATTATAAAAAGGCATCTTAAAACGAGGTATGTGTAAAATTTGAGAATAACGAAATGAGTCCGTTAACTTACAGATTTTAGAAATTTAAGTTGAGACATCTCTCGTACAATCGATGTATGCTAGGTGTTTCTTTAAAATTTCAACTCCAGTATCGCTATCATGCATAGCTTTTTGAAAACGCTTTTTTACCTTACAGAATGAGCATAAATTATCTACTTGTGAACCTGGCTGTCTCTGATATACTGTTTGCTGCATTTGTTACACCAAAGGTTATCGTCAACCACAATATAAGGCAGCCAAATGGAGTGGCAGGTTTAGTCCTTTGCAAGTTACTAATTGGAGGGAATCTGGCCTGAATTCCCGAAATAACCTCAGTTCTTACTTTGGTGGAGATATCCTTCGAAAGCTACTACACTGTGGTGTATCCGCTTGATCCAAATAGAAAACTTACCAAACGTAAACTGAAGGTATGTCAAAGATAAAGCTCCTTGTGAGAGACTGTTAGTCACTCACTAACTCAGTAACTAGCGACCTCACTTTTTTGAAGACCGCTTAAGTAATATGACCTTATAGTTTATATTCAAGCAGGGCAGAAACCGTAGAGAGAGTTTAGTGAAAAGTATGTGAACAAAGATGCAGACTCCTTTCCACTTTTTTTGATGTGCTGATTTGAAACACTTCCATGAGAACACAATCAATTAGAGGACCATTTTGCATTATTTATATAAAAGATGTTGAAGTTTTTGTGTAATCATTCTATAGGTAATCGTTCTTTTCTCGTGGGCATTTTCAGGGGTTTTTAACTTGCCCAAGTTTCTTACACGAACTTTTGACGAACAGAAAAACCATAGTATTCAAATCTTTCTCGTTTACAAGCATGTTGGAGGGTTAAAGTGTTAGAGCCCTTACGAGAATCGTCGCCCTCGGCTCTTAGCCACATTGCACATAACGAAAGTGTCTGCCAAATGAAGATACCTCTTTTCAAGTAGGTAGAAATATGCGAAGAAATTGGAGGGTTAGAATTGTCGGTAAACTTCCAGGTTAAAATAACATCTACTTAATTTTGCTTTAAAAATATTTATTGAAAAATTGCTTGATAGAACATCTCCCATAACAATTAAGTGACAAGTTAAAGAATAAGAAAGATGAAGTTCGTCATTCTCCATCTTATATTCTCAACGTTGGGACAGATATTGTTCACTCCTATTAAATAACGATCTGATGATGTTTCTTTGTTGACTCAGTTGATTGTATTTCCTTTCTCAATTCCCAGAGTGTTCTGAGGGTTCGAAAACGAGTCGCTTTGATGGTCATAACAGTCAGTTTCATCTTTGCAGTTTGTTGGGGAACCAAATCAGTTGAATACGTCTTGCGATATCTCACATCTCTCGAAATCAGCTTTGTTCAAATAACCATTGTTGACATGATGGTGTTGTTCAATTTAGCGGTAAACTTCTTTGTGCATATATATATATATGCCCTCCTGAATCATCAGTTCAGACAGAAGATAAAAGGAATGATATGTTGCACACGCACTGTGGCACCCAGGCCACGGGCTGAAACGACTGTAGAGACTAAGCTTTGATTAGAAACTGAATCAACCTTGAGTTATGCGCGTTATGAACGTATGAAGAGTGCTTTTAGAAGTCGGTCATTGATCAAAAACCGTCGGGGAGTCTGGCTGGTATATCGCCATCCTTCTATTGACAACCGAGTGAGCCTAAGCGATTTATCAACTATTGTGATAAGGGGCTTCAAAAACTAAACTAAAAAAGTATTTATTACCTTATGCATGCCCCAGACCTTCCATATTGGTAGGTTGATTGCACGAAAGCATTTCATGTGATGGTTAACCTAGGTTTCATTACCGCAGAGGTTTCTTTCACCTAATTTAGCCCAAGATTGGAGATTGATATTAACTATTTATTCACATTTTGGTCCTTTGTGACGTCAAGCACAGCATGAAATGATGAATTTACGTATCTTTAGCATTTGCGTAAAGATCCGTAAATATATGGCGTTTTCTTTACGGAAAAGTAACGCATTCCGTAAAGACGCGTAAATGCAAGGAACGCGCAAAGAATACGTAAACAATGTTACATATTCGTAAAGAATATGGGTCAAAGATGGATACAACTCACTGCTTTCTAATTAGTAACCCCCCAAAAATTGACATAATCGTGTTTCGTCTGTCTTAGGTAAAACTTTATGTATTTTGAGCAATTTCGCTGG